GTGAAGTTTAATTTGAGTATGTAGCCTGGATCTGATTGGTGTGTGAAGCTTGATTTGAGTATGCGATATTGATTTGAGTATGCGAGGGTCCGTTTACAGAAAGAAATATTTGGAGATGTATGAGTTTAAATCTGTTGTTGCCTCTTCATGAAAATGTCTATTTCAATAAGCTTGTAGAAGCCTTATTTTTTTAGTAGAAAATATGAATCTAAAATCTGTGTTGGTTTTAAGCCTCTACGTTTTTGGCATGTTGAAAGCCTATTAGCTCAATTGGTCGAGCACCGTGTATTACGGGATGTAGGTTCGAATCCTACATAGACTTTTTTTAATACCCTTTATTTTTATATTTAGTGACCTCTCGGTAAATGGTGTCAAATTGATATAATTACCCGAAGTTTATATATAGTTACCTTATTTTTGATATAGTGACCTTAGAATCATGGAAACGTTGTAAATTTTGTTTCAGTCACCTTATTTTTGTATATGGCAATCTTTATGTAAATGTTGTTAAAATTGATGTAGTTACCTTATTTTTATATATAGTGACCTTTATTTTTGTATATAGTAACCTTTATGTAAATGGTGTCAAAAACTCAGTCGATATAGTTACCTTATTTTTGTATATAGTAACCATAATGTAAATGTTGTAAAAATTGATATAGTTACCCTATTTTTATATATAGTGACCTGTAAATATGGTCAAAATTGAAATAGTTATCCTATTTTTGTATATAGTGACCTCTGTTTTTTGTTTTCACCATAAGCCATGTTTCAGCGGAACCTCCCATATCTATCCAAAAGTAAAATAAATTCAACTAAATTTTCATATAATGCCGCTCAAAGTGTGTCAACAAAATATAAGGGCAAATGTATATGAGTTTGTGTATGGGTACTAATCCAAGCTAATATTTTCATTCATTTATATAAAACCTTATAGTATCTAATTTCTATTACTATTTTATACAATCCAATTCAATCTTTACGTATTTGGTAAAAGTATAAATTAAAATTCAAGTTATTTTATTACAAATATTATTTTCGGATAAATTACTGTTGAATTTACAACATTATATATAATTAATTTATTGTAACCTGTAATTATGACACAGTGACTTAACCTAATTAACCAAATATTGAAAAATAAAAACACTTTTTTTTTTCCCTTTCTATTCCCTTCCCTTCTCACACCTAAAACACAGTAAATAGTTACCTCCTTGAGGAATTCGCCACCATTGATGAGCACCAAATCCGTCCACCTCTTTGCTGTTGTAGATGGGCAAAACCAATTTGATTCTGGGTTTAAAGTCACTCAAAAAGGGTAAATTTTCTTTCTTTCTCTCTTACCCAGAAATTTCTACCTTTCAATTTCACTTTCGAAATTTTGATCATTTTAATCCTGCTAATAAAACCCATTTCTTGTATAAAATTTCTGCAAATGGGTTTCATTCTAATTCTATTATTAGTAACTCTGAAAGTAGTGTAACTAGTTTGGAATGCTTCATAAACATATTTGATAAGCTGATTGATGATCGCCCTTTACCTCCCATTGCCACATTTACTTCAATTTTGAAATCAATTCTTAAAGTTAGACATTATTCTGCCGCAATTCCCCTCTTTAAGAAGTTGTGTTTGTTGCATGATCAAATTTTGCCTGATTTGTAGGGGTGTACAAAAATTGGCCCGAACCTGAAACCGGACCTGAACCGACCTGAACCGGACCGGACCTGACCCGGACCTGTTGATTCAGGTCCGGTCCCGGTTCTTAAAAATCCAGGTTCCCGGTCCCGGTCCGGACCCGGTCCAAACCCGGGGTTTTCAGGTCCGGACCTGAAACCCGGGAAATCGTAATTAAAAAAAAAAAAAAAAAAAAAAAAAAAAAAACAAGAAAATATCTGATTCTCTCAGCCTCCCTCAATCTCTTTCATATTTTTAAGTTCTAACCCTAACTCCCTAAGCCCAAACTCTCAGCCTCCCTCAATCTCAACTTCTCAACGCGGTTGTCCGGCTGTCCCAACTCGCTCCGGCCACCGCCCACTGCCGACACCTCCCTCATTCTCTCAGGCGATGCACACCGATAATATCTGGTAAGTATTTGCTTATAATTTTGGTATTTTTAATTCGAAATAATAAATTAAGTGTGAGAATTTATAAGTTTATTCTTGTTTCAAATTTTCAATTGCTTTTAATGATTGTTTGATGTTTGCATGTTGAATTTCTTATTTTTAGTTCATCTCTTTCGAATTTCTGTTTTTTTTTTTTTTTGGTTTTTTTGAGTTTAGGGTTCATAAGAATTAAGAAGTTTAGGGTTTAGGGTTCAAGTGCGAAATTTAGTTCGAAATTTTGTGTTTATTATGATTATTAAGATTAATTTAGTGCGAAAATTTGTGTGGTAGGGTGGGTTGGGGTGGGGTTATGGTGGGGTTACGGTGGTACGGTTCTGGTGTGTGGGGGTTAAGGGTTAAGGGGTGGCAGTGGGGTGGGGTGGGGTGGGTTGGGGTGGTGAGCTGGGGTTTTTGGGATGGCTGGATGGAAAATTGTGAATGTTGATGGGGTTGTCGGGAGTGGAGATGGGGTTTTCGTGGTGGCTGGTAGGGTCACCGAGAGTGGAGATGGGTTTTCGGGGTGGCTGGGTGGTGTTTTGGATTGGAGGGGGTTTTGGAGTGGTTGAGTGAGGTTATTCCGGCGGGAATGGAATTTGTGGGGTGGATTCCATGGTTGGAGTGTCAGGGAAGGCGGCTAGGGGTGGGGCTGCCAATGAAGCTGGTTGTGTTGTGTTGTGTGGGCAGTGGTGGATCTGGGTATTGACATAAATTTCAGAAAGTTGGTTGTGTTGTGTTGTGTTGTGTTGTGTGGGCAATGCCTCTCTCATTTTTTTCTTAACATAAATTTCAGAAAGTTGAAAGTATTTCTAATGTGTATTGATATTTCTAATGTGTATATATGGACACTTTTTAAGCTAACTTATACTTTAAAATTTGTGTTTATTCCTGCTAGGCTGCTAAAAGTATGGACTCAGATTATTAAGATTAAACAAGTTGGCTAACCTGTGTGTAGTTCAGGGGTTCTTATTTTTGTTTTTATTCTTGCAGGGAGTGAAGGAAGTCAAGGAACCACGGATTCTTATTCTTGCAATGTAAGTTGCTCTTAAATTTTTTTATAAAATGGTATGTGTATTAGTGTATATAATTGTTACTTTAAAATTACTTATATTGTATATAATTATATTGTAGATGGAGAGCTCTCAATCCAAACGGTCTACTTCTTTTTCTGAACAAACGTCACAGCCACTTTATGAAAAGGATATGGAAGAATTGCAATCTACTTTGCCTCCTGATAAGAAGCTAAAAGCGGGGCGGGAATATATATGGAACAGAAAAAGTAAGAGGAAAGCTGAGTATTGGAAATATTACTTAGAGTACGTCGAGAATGGAAAACTACGAGCTGAATGTAAGTTCTGTCCTAAAACTTTTGCTGCTGATGGTAATCTTAATGGTTCAAAAAATGTTAAAAACCATGCAGAATCATGTCTCGGTAATCCTATTAATATAGAAAAAGAAAAGGGCAAAGAAAAGCAAACTAAATTGTATTTTGATCAAGAACATGAGAGTAGTGAATTAAAGTGTGGGAGTAGGATTATTAACTTGAATGATGTTAGAGAGGCATTGATTCACATGATTATTGTTGATGAGTTACCATTTAAGCATGTGGAAAAACCCGGTTTTAGGCACTTTGTTCAAGTTGCATGTCCACAATTTCACATTCCATCTCGTGTTACCATTGCTCGTGATTGTTTAAAGTTGTATTATAGTGAAAAAGAGAAATTGAGAGAAATGTTTAAGACATGTCAAAGAATTTCTGTGACCACTGATACTTGGACTTCAATACAAAGAATTAATTATATGTGTCTTACAGCTCATTTCATTGATAATGACTGGAAATTGAATAAAAAGATCATAAATTTTTGTCCAATTTCTAGTCATAAGGGAGAGGCTATTGGAAAAGCAGTTGAGGCATGTTTAGAGTATTGGGGTATTGATGATAAACTTTTTACTGTCACTGTTGATAATGCTTCTTCAAATGATGTTGCTTGTACGGGAGGTCGTACTCTAGATCCATTTCGGAGTTCTTTAACTCCTAAGGTAATGCATCGTTATCTTTTTATTTTATAAAATCAAGTTTGTTTATATCTTAATATGACTTTGTTTATACATATTTGTGTAATATTTTTGTATTGAAGATGGTTCAAGCGTTATTTTGCACACAAGATTGGCTTAGAGCTAAGGAAGTGCCAATTGTTGATGTGGAAGAAAATTTGAAAGAGTTAGAGGAAATAGAGAAAGGTAGTAATAATTTTATGTATTTGAAATTTTGTTACACCAAATTTATTATTTCATTGTTATCAATCATTAATATATTCTATATTGTATTTTATTTAGAGGTGCAACGTGGTGAATCTAACGATGTAGACGATGAAGTTGTTTTCGTGGACTCATTAGTGTGAATCACGCGATCAAAGGGAAAACAACTCGTTGGAGAATTTATGTATTCCTAGTACTTGAGAGTTGAGACTTAAGAGAATTTATGTAATTTTATGAGTTTTCGTGGACTTATTTGTATTTTCGGTGGACTCATTTGTATTTTTGGTGTTTGAGAATCGGGACTTTATAGACTTTATGTAGTTTTGTAATTGATAATTTTGGTTTGTATGTAATTATTAAATTATGCAACAGGTCTAAAAATCACAAAACAGGTCCATATGCAGGTCCAACAGGTTTTGTATTAAAAAAAAACAAAAAACGAAAAAGACACAAAACAGGTCCATTCAAGTCCAAACCCGGACCGGATCTGATTTTTCAGGTCTGGCCCGGAACCGGACCTGTTAATTCAGGTCCGGTCCCCGGTCCTCATAATTACCCAATTCAGGTCCCCGGTCCAAACAGGTCCGGTCCAGGTCCGGTCCGGTTTTGGACCGGTGTACACCCCTACTGATTTGTGTGCTCTGAACATGAATATTGAGTGTTATTGCCGCTTAAATCAAGTCGATTTGGGGTTTTCTCTTCTGGGTAAGATCATCAAGCTAGGTTATGAGCCTGACATTGTAACATTCACCAATTTGATTCATGGATTATGTGCCATCAAGAATGGTGTTGATGCTGTTAAGCTTTTTTACAAAGTTATTGATCTGGGTTTACAGCTGGATTTATATACTTATAGAGCTTTAATTAAGTGTTTGTTTAAAACCGGGCGAAATGCTGATGCATTGAAGTTGCTTAGGATGAGAAGACTAATGGGTTGCAAACCCGATATTGGGATATATCATATGATTATGTATGGCTTTTGTAAGGACAACCTATTGTCTCAGGCTTCGGAACTATTCTCTGTAATGATCAGTGATGGTGTCTTGCCTACTGTCACCACTTACAACCTGTTAATATGGGGACACGGTAAGTTGGGGCAATGGGATGAGGTATGGAGGTTATTGCGAGAAATGATTGATGCCGGAATTTCGCCTAATATATACTTGTATAATATTTTAATCGGTAGGCTTAGTAAAGAAGTGAGGATGAAAGAAGTGGAGCGTGTTTTTGATATGATGATCGATTCTTGTCATGTTCCAGACACTGTCACTTACAACTCCCTGATCGATGGATATTGTAAGGAAGGCTTGATCGATAAAGCAATGCAGACTTTTGACACTATGCTTGATATGGGCTGTACACCTAATGTTGTAACCTACAACTCCTTAATCGATGGATATTGTAAGAAGGGTTTGATCGATAAAGCAATGCAGACTTTTGACACTATGCTTGATATGGGTTGTACACCTAATGTTGTAACCTACACCTCCTTAATCGATGGATATTGTAAGAAGGGTTTGATCGATAAAGCAATGCAGACTTTTGACACTATGCTTGATATGGGTTGTACACCTAATGTTGTAACCTACACCTCCTTAATCGATGGATATTGTAAGAAGGGTTTGATCGATAAAGCAACGCAGACTTTTGACACTATGCTTGATATGGGTTGTACACCTGATGTTGTAACCTACAGCTCCGTGATCGATGGATATTGTAAGAAGGGTTTGATCGATAAAGCAACGCAGACTTTTGACGCTATGCTTGATATGGGTTGTACACCTGATGTTGTAACCTACAACTCCGTGATCGATGGATATTGTAAGAAGGGTTTGATCGATAAAGCAATGCAGACTTTTGACACTATGCTTGATATGGGTTGTACACCTAATGTTGTAACCTACAACTCCTTAATCGATGGATATTGTAAGAAGGGTTTGATCGATAAAGCAATGCAGACTTTTGACACTATGCTTGATATGGGTTGTACACCTAATGTTGTAACCTACGGCTCCTTTATCGAAGGATATTGTAAGAAGGGTTTGATCGATAAAGCAATGCAGACTTTTGACACTATGCTTGATATGGGTTGTACACCTGATGTTGTAACCTACAACTCCTTAATCGATGGATATTGTAAAAAAGGTTTGATTGATAAAGCAATGCAGACTTTTGACACTATGCTTGATATAGGTTGTACACCTAATGTTGTAACCTACAGCTCCTTGATCAATGGATATTGTAAGAAAGGTTTGATGGATGAAGCACTGCAGATTCTGGATACTATGCTTAGTAAGGGTTGTGCACCTAATGTTGTAACCTACAGCTCCTTGATTAATGGATTTTGTAAGCAAAGAGGGATGGATGATGCCATGCGTCTATTTAAAGAGATGTCTAGTAAAAGGCAAACTCCAGATGCAATCACTTACACTTAAGGATTTTGCAAGGTCAAAGAAGTCAGAATCGCGCTTTCTCTTTTTTGTAAGATGCAAACTAGTGGTTATGTTCCTGATCTTGTCATTTATAATATTTTGTTACATGGTCTTTGCAAAGACCATCAGCCTAAAGATGCTATCAAACTCTTCAGGGAAATGATTGATCACAGAATAGTGCCTAATACAAGTATTCAAAAATACAACCGCCTCATTAACAGCATTGAACGATGCTCAACTTGATGATCTGATGCTATTTCTCTAGCAAATTGTCACACTTAAACATGTAGCTTAGTTTTATACACAAAATAAGTTCAGAAGTTCTGTGTAAGGCTGGACTTGTAGCTGAGGCTGGAGGAGTTAATCTGAAAACTGAATGCAATTGGCTGCTTGCATAGTTGCATGACTACTAACCATCAGCAAGAAGGTACTGCAATTCAACGGCTAGAAATGGTGGTTCAAAGGGGGTCCGGTGTACTCCTAAGTTCTTCCTTGATAGGTGACTTGTTGACTTGTTCTGGGTTATTAACTCCATCCTCAATCCAATAGATTCCTCGAATTCATCTTGGGATAGATATCTAAATCTCTGAATTTGAAGTCTTTCAAGGGTGTGGCAGATGAAGTACCAGTTTAGTATATGTGCCAGAAGTTGCATGGGTATTCAACTATTCTCTGCTTGAAAGAACTTTTTATGTGACTGATTCATTTTTTGTCATCCTCTTTGAACTGAAGCATTATGAGTTTCAGGATAATTATAGATATACTAGACTGCTCCTTTAAACATATTGTGAGAATAACCTATAAGCATCAGCAATATACTTATATACATGGTCTGTTTATTCTGTATATACCACCCTTAGCCTTCAGCCTTAGAGTCACAATCAGTCTACTCATGCTAAAATGGCGTCTTCATCAATTTCCCTCCATAGCTAGTACTGCTCGTCTATTTCGTCTTCAGCCTTAGAGTAGAGAGATATATCAAATACAAAGTACTCCGTAATCCGTATATACCCAAGAACTCAACCTCAGTACTTCATGAGTCTTGTATCATTTGAAGCAATACGAATAGTCGAGTTAACAAACAGTTCTTCGGACATTGCTAGAAATAATCTGGTAAAATAAAACAATTTAGGTCAGAGAAAATTCAAAATCTCCAGATTCGCCATGTCTGTTGATGGCCTTCTGTGATCAATCTTCCATGGCCAAAACTCTCTCTCTTCCTATTACTGCCCTTCATCTTCTTCTCATCTTCCTCCATTCCCTCTTATAATAATTAATTTATTGATTATATCAACAATTCTCCCAATTTCTAGGAAGAAATCAAAATCCCTCCAAATTTTCGCAATTCTACAATCTGGGTTTTTCTCAGAACCTTAAAAAAATCTTACCCAGTTCATCAAAAATCAATTATCAGTGAAAAATTGGGGCAAAAACATGGCTTCTGTATTGGTTTATCATGTGGTGGGTGATCTGACGGTGGCAAAACCGGAGTTGGTGGAGTTTATTGAGACGGAGACGGTGGAGGCGGCGATAAAAGCGATTGGAGAATCAACAGAGGGTGGAATTCCGGTTTGGAGAAGGAAACCTCAAAAGGGTATGACTGAATATAGTGAAATGAGGTTGCAAAGATTTGTGGGTATTCTTAATTCCTTTGGATATTGTGGCTTTTTTGGCAAAAGATTGGTGTTTGCAGGATCAGGAGAAAGCTATGAAAACCCCGGTTCCTGAGGTTGTTGTTCCTAATAATTCCCTACTTAAGGAAGTGGATCCTGCTACAAGGTTTGAATTTTGATGTTATTTGATTTAGTTTTTCAAGGTTTTATTGTGATTGATTGTTTTAATGCACCTTCATTGTGAGATGTTTTGGTTTTTGATCCACGTAGGCTTAGGCAACGATGTAAACGTAATTTGATCTTAAGTAGTTGGCATCCCACTTATAACTTTGCTCATTATGTTTCTTGTTTCAATCATTTGTTGGGTTTGATTTTACTCATTTATAGACCAAATGTGTAGTGTATACTAGTCACTTAAGGTGGTGATGTATATATGATTTGATCCAAGATACCAACCCCCAATGCTTTTAAAGAACTTGAGTACTATGTACGGATTAGTTGACAATTTGACATCCACTAATAAAGTAATAAGTGTGCCTTTTATGATTAATTTTGCAATTATTTGTCTGATTTGATTTGGTTCAATTTTAGAGGTCATTTTGCAACCCTCGTTGCTTGATGTTAAGTCAGGGATTGGTTTTCTCCATACTGACTGTAGTATAATTTTGAGACATTTGAGTTGACAATCTATATTATGAAGGTGTCATGTTCTTACTATCCTTTGATCTGATCCTGATTTTACTTGTCTTGGATGGTTTTGTTGATTTTGTTTATGTGATTTGTGTCATCAATGTATCAAGTACGTAAGAATTATTTTCAGTACAGTTTGATACTAATGATCAATCCTAGTTTATTTCAAATTTGTTTAATTTTTTTTACGGCTATTTCACCAAATGCCACTGAGCACTTTAATAATTCACCGAATGTCGGCTTTCAAAATTCACCAAATGCCACCGAGTTTTAATAAAATTCAGCGAGTGCCATTAATGACTGACGGCCGTTAGTTGACCCCACCACTTGCCACGTGTCACCTTCTGATTGGTCCGTTTTTAAAAAAAAAAATTAAACAAAAACTTAAAAAAAAACCAAAAATATTTAAAAATATTACAAAAAATAATAATAAAAAAAAACACCACCCTGCCACCACCTTTCCCACCACCCTGCCACCATTCCCTCTCCCCCTCCCCTTCACGCAACTCCCCTCTCCCCCAGCCCTGAAACCGGCCAGCCGGCGTACAGCTCACCCACTGCCGGCCGACCACCTCCTGTTACCTAGACCTCCCCTTACCCCTCGCGCCACCCATCCAAATGAAACCCTAACTTCCGATCACCCTAACCCGTTATGCAGCCCAATTCCACCCCTTCCTAACCACCGCAGCCAACCTCCACCACCAAAAACTCCCACAAATCGCAGCAACCCTTTTCTTCTCAAATAGCAGCGAACGTCAACCTTGCTGTCGTTCCCAATCCCCGCACCAACAATAAAAGCCCCGCCGCATCACCAATTCCCTATTTGCGCATCAAGTCACAACCAACGCCACAAATTACCACCAATCCGCCACCCTTAATCAACAATTCGCCACCAATTTCAACAATTTTGCCCTCAATCGTTAATTTTGTTGAGATTCGTGATTGACGGTGATGGGCCTAATGCGTGAAGCTAAAGAACAGAGCAGCCACATTAAAGAAGACAAGGACCCCACCCACGAAACCCCAATGGTGGTTTAGAAGTTGGGAAGTTTTCAAGCGTTTAAAGGGAGGGGGTGCGGTTTCGGGGTGGTGGAGGAAGGGGGTGGGGTTTTGGGTCGCGACGGGGGAATAGGAGGGGAAAGGGAGGGGGGCCGGCGGCTGTCGGCACGCCTGCCGATGCAGGTCCCGGCAGTAGGGGTTCGGGGACCGGCGGCATGGCCGGGGTGGTGGCTGCTGGGGTTTGGGGTTTTTTTTATTTTTATTATTATTATTTGTAATTTTTAAAAATATTTTTGGTTTTTTTTTTTATTTTTTTAAATTTTTTTTTAAAAACGAACCAATCAGAAGGTGACACGTGGCAAGTGGTGGGGTCAACTAACGGTTAACTAACGGCCGTCAATCATTAATGGCACTCGGTGAATTTATTTAAAACTCGGTGGCATTTGGTGAATTTTGAAAACTTTGATGGCATTTGGTGAATTATTAAAGTGCTCAGTGACATTTGGTGAAATAGCCGTAAATCTAGTGATTTCTGTCTTGTGGACATATTAATTAATGAAAATCATATTTCATTGAAAACAAATTATAAATTGAATGCCAATATAATACTAAGTATGGATTAACAATACAACAAATTATTAAACTGAATGATAATACCGTAAAGATTTAAGATTGCTTTTGACACCCTAGAAAATACGGATTAGCATACAACAAATTATTAAACTGTATGTCAACACTCAATACTCGTATCAATCTTTAGCTTCGCATAACATACATATACTAAATTGCTAATTATACGCAAATAGTTTCATAATAGAAAATCAGCAAGCAAAGCTTGAGATAATCATACATATAAATATTATTAATGCCATATTGCCATTGTCTCAGCGATTAGATCACTTAATGACCAGGATGGTTGTATCCGCCACGACCCAGATTCTCTTCATAAGCACCTTTCTCTAGTGGTGGTGGAGTTTTCCGAGGAGGGCAGCGACGACATATCGGGCCAACTTCTACAACCGTGGCATCATTTTTCCCTACGGAGTACAATATAACCTACTTTGGTTAGGGAAAATTATATTTAGACTCAGGATAATTATAAATTTATACTCGTAATTTTTTTTTTTTTTTTTTTTTTTTACACATGCTCGTAATTAAAATACCACTTTCTGAAAAAAAATAAAAATAAATTATGTGATTGCAATTAATGAACCAGTGGAGAAAACTGAATTCTTAATTTATGGCTCAAAGTATGAACGACACCTCCCAATATTTTTATCTTTTGACGAAAAAAATAAAAAATTGGGTGGTGTCGTTCATACTTTGGGCCATTCATATGCACTTTGGGCCATTGCACAAGCTGACAAGCATAACAGGGGAAATTAATAGTACTTCGTACAAGCACAGCTCCAAATTGTGGCATGCCAGTGAAATCTCCCGCACCAAATCCTATTTGCAATACTTCGTACAGTCATTTGGTAGGTTAGGTCTTAGTATAATAGTATAATAAATAAATAAATGAAGGTAGTAGTTAATCCTTACGGAGTATATTTCAAACAAAGGAAAGCTTTGTCCTACATTAGAGGTGCAATAATCTATAGTTATCTAGTTGACTAGTTCGAATGAAACATTCAAGTAAGTTGGATACGCTCAATTTTGGATGCCAACTAATCTTTTAGTATTTTAGGGTGGACAATCTCTCCACACACACAAAAAAATGATACTTAATCTAACAACTTTTGTAATAACCAAAAGTAATACACTCTCTCTATTAGACTAATAGGTTAGAGACCCTAGAGTTGGTTACATGCCAAGCTTTAAATTGTTTCACCTTAAACATCGAGTTAAGTCAGGCTAGGTCAAGACAATATATGACTCACTGAGCCAGGCTAACCCATATAATGGCCTGACCAATTGGGTCGAATATATAAAGTCGGCCTACACTTGATCAACTCTATCGACCTTAACTCCTTATGATCCACGGTGATGATCAAATAATGCATGTACGTGATGAGCTTAACAAAATTGCATGAATTTTTGTTATGGAAAGTTATAAAGATGGAGGATTGTATTACCAGTGTGTTCAACAGATTTGGGATAATCTCGAGCAGAAACTACTACTGTATGGAAGACAAGAAATAGAAGGCAAAAACATAAGAGAGCTCTTGAATAAGCCATTTCCACGAATTCACAGTTTAATGAGTTGATTTTTTTTAAAATGGCCTAGATATATCATAAAGTATAGGGATCTCACTCTTATTTATAATCTAATAAAAGTAGTTAAAAAATCTGTACAAGTCAAACACAATTTTGTACAAGTTTGAAAATATGGTATCAGTATAATAGTCCATCTATTGATGCAAGCTTTCAAAGCAATAATAAACCAATATGATAACCATAACCCTAGAGAGTGGGATGATTTTATGGTTGTCGTTTGAAAAATAACAACTATTATTTTTAAAAATTGACGGTTCAGATATTTGTTGATTTTTGAATTAATTTTAAATGCTAATATAAATAATAATAAAAAATTAATCTTCTTAGTTTAAAAATTTATATTTGATTTTCGAAAATTAATTATTAATTCAGTTTTAAATTTTCTGATTAATTTATCAATTTTTTTTTGTTTTATAATAAAAAAAAAAAAAATTTTATTTTAATCTAACATTTAAAAATCAAACAATCACAGCCGTCTATTTTTTAAAATTATGATTGTCCTGTAAAATTTTCAAGAGAGTGACGAATGATAACCCTAGAGACTGACCACAAGACAAAAAATATAGTACAAGTTTATTGAATTATGGCTTTTAGTAGGTGACAATGTTGAATTATTGCAAAGCATTTTCCTGCGCATGATAAGGGTTGTTCTTTATAGACAATAATTTCAAATATATATTTGAATTTTTATTTTGACAAGAAATATATGTTTAAATTAACAAATTTAGATTGTCAGTTTTCAATTGTAAACTGAATTCTATAAATGTTAAAGCCTAAATTATATGGCTGTGATATATGCCATGCGCAATGCTTACATCTATATATTAAGTCCATTTTCTAAATCTATACTATATATTAAAAGACGTTCCTAAAACCCTAAAGACTGACCACAAGACAAAAAATATGCAAGTATGTTGAATTATGGCTTTTAGTCGGTGACAATGTTGAATTATTGCAAAGCATTTGCCTGCGCATGCCCAACCTCTTACAACAAAAATGACTATTTAACCATCTAAACCAATTACCAACCACATTATCAATATGTAAAAAAAAGTATATAAGTGAAAAGCATAAGGTTTAATTTAAAAAAAAAAAATTAAGATACTCAAAGAAAATAAATATTCAGTGTAACTATTACCTCATACACCCTGGGAACAATAGGCCTGACAAATTCATCTATATACGTATAATACATGAAAACTATAAAACAATAATATATAACATAGACTCAGGACATCGCACGGGCTAAACACTAGTTGTTATCAATTAAAGCATGCATTAAAAGGAAACCAATAGTTAATTGGTGATTAAATGTTTAGAATTTTATCCGGATTCAATTCCTTTTTTATTTTCTGTTTGACTTATGTTTCAATATGTGTGCAACTTCCCTTCAAATGTTCATTCACCCTGGGAACAATAGGCCTGACAAATTCATCTATATACGTATAATACATGAAAACTATAAAACAATAATATATAACATAGACTCAGGACATCGCACGGGCTAAACACTAGTTGTTATCAATTAAAGCATGCATTAAAAGAAAACCAATAGTTAATTGGTGATTAAATGTTTAGAATTTTATCCGGATTCAATTCCTTTTTTATTTTCTGTTTGACTTATGTTTCAATATGTGTGCAACTTCCCTTCAAATGTTCATTCAACTTGCCAAATTGATCTGAACAGGCATGTAAACATTAATCGACCTTATCAAAAGACCTATAAACATACTACTAAGACCCCTGCATTTCCCTTATTCTGTGCTTAATACGTAGCAATATTAATTTATATATTCAACTTATACTAACCCCTTCACCCGTACTTTAACTATCAACGAAATCTTTTATCTTTCCTTTAAAAAAAAAAATAAACTATTATCATGCCAAATACGAACGCCTACAGGTAGGAATGTTACTTAAACACATAAACAGGCAACGCCGATCCGCCAAGATCCATACAGCTGAAAAAGGCGTCTTACATGGAAGGTTTGAGCTTTACCATTGTTAAATTACGCATGGGCCCGAGCAACCCAATTAGGAGGAGGAGAGTTTTTGGTCCACTTACAAGCCCAAGAAGGTTCCATCCTAAAACCAATTGGTGATAGGAGGAGTAACTCCTAAGCTTATAAAGTGGTTGATGTTCTCCCCTTTCTCCAATATGGGACAACTCACTAGTGCACACTATATGGGGTTCAACAACCATGAAATCAAGATATAAATTGTAATCAATGGGGTTGTGGGATAGTTAATTGTATCATAACCATCAATACCTAGAAATAAATTGGATGTCGAAGTTGACATCGTTACTTTTGACAAACCTAACTTTGCAAACGGGTTCCCTTACAGATGTAATAACGTTTTCAAACAGTGTTACAAGTCATAGGAATGACTCGAATGAGTAAGCAGCTGATGGAGCGAGTAGATGAGCTGGTGCAATGTACCTGTTGACTCTAATTTCGAAAAGACCACTAGATTGACATTTCCGGCTGATCTATTAGATCAACTGGGACTCCCTATATATATTACTAAATCAAATGAATTCAATAAATTTTATGCAAAGTGGTTCACGCTGCTATTGCTGTATGGCCTGTACAAGACATTCATACAAATATATAAGCATGTTTTGGCCTTATGTGTGATTCCCAACTTAAACTTATGATTTATAACTTTTTGCTCAACCTGTCTTTAGCTCTTTCTTTCACCATCGTCTGCACAAAGAGCTCTCCTGCTCGATATGATGAGCGTACCTACGAGGAAAGAAAGAAAATCAAAATTCATACACTCCAGGTGCTGCCCCCATAACATTCACTATCAGCATAATAATAATATTAGGTCAGATAAAAAAAAAATTACAATTAGAAAAATGGATGGAGCATGTTTATGGACATTATGGTTTAATAGATAAGAGTCTACAATGACAGAATGACCAAGGAAGTAATCAAAGTGTTGTCTCTAATAGATCTCTTATATTTTATTTATTAATATATCATGATGGAAACATAACATAATTAGTTTTAGTTTCAAAGGGCGTTCAGAAATTCCATGAGGTTGTGGAGGCACGTGACTAGCTTGAACACTACTGATTTTAGCAGTCCACACAACTTAAGAACTCTTCGAACTTTCAGCAATATATGAGATAGAACTCAAAAGTATCATCTTAATATTTAAATAAACAGGGTAAAATGCTTACAAGTGGACCACTAGCAACATAACGAAAACCTAAAGCTTCTCCATACTCCTTCCAAAAAGCAAATTTCTCAGGAGTAACATACTCTTTAACTGTGAGGTGCAATGGTGTTGGCTGCAAGGAAAAAAAAAAAAAAGGGTGAATAGCTTAAGCCCTCAAAGAACTGGGATAGCAGATAAAATTTCATGAAGGTAAATTAGAGATAAATATAAAGTTAAAGTTGAACTTGATGAGTACAAATAATCAAAGCACAACACAAAGCCAATAAATTTGGCATAAATTTCTCACCTGTAAATATTGTCCAAGTGTCAGAATGTCAACATCAATGGCTCGAAGATCAGCCATGGCTTCCTTTATTTGATCATCTGTTTCCCCAAGCCCTAGCATGATAGAAGTTTTTGTGATCATCCCATCTTTGCTAAATTTTGCATGTTTGAGTACAGACATGCTCTGTTCGTACCTGCACATCAACTGAAATCACTATAACAAGGTATATTACATATATAATGTGCCTTGGACAAACATGTTGGTTTAGTGTATGACCATACCTAAAAGTTTACAAAATCAATTAGAGCAATAAAAATCGAAGAATCACACAATACTACTTACAACACAGATAATTCTGCTATTAGTAAACAGTAAGAATGTAAGATTATGAGGAGCCCTAGGAGTCCAAACATGTTGGTTTAAGCTAGGTTTTTCTAAGCCATTTCTCCAAGATTCTGAGTCTCTTGGTTTGACGCATAAAAGAAAACCATGTTTGGTCTTACCACATAATCGGAAAAGACAAACTATAGTCCCTGTACTTGCAGGTCTGTTGCTAGTCAGGTTCATTTTCCAATAGCCAAATTCAATAAGTTTAGAGCGGAATGATTTAAAGGCCCACAATACTACCTATACAAATTATGCAAGATATGCATTTAAAAGAGAGGCAATACCAGTATGTTGATACTAAATTGCTAACAAAGAAGTAAAAAACCAACCCTGCTCGAGGATCTCTAACTATTCTCTGAAGCCGCTTGACAGTTTCAATGTTGTGAGCAAAAACATCTAATCCCGAGTGCACCAGAGTATCTACAGCCTTCAAGTCTCCCCTAAAATCAGAAGTTAAACATTCAACCATGATTTCAGGCTTGAGTGCCTGCACCATCAAATGTTTCCTCATCAAGCATCTTTTCTCTCTTGGTAATTGACATGGTTATAAGAGAACTGAAGAAAGGTCCACAATAAGCTACTAAAAAGTTCCACCTACCTTCATGGCTTTGACTGTTTGAGCAAAATGGCCGCTTCCACCATCAAGCAAATCATCCCGATCAACACTAGTTAGAACGATGTAATCAACACTACAATATAGATGCCCAAAGGATATCAGTATATAGATCAAGACATTTAGCGCTCAGATATGAATATAATAAGCAAACTGAAACCAATGTTCTTAAAATGAGCCTACTCTTTACCAAAGTATAAATTTTTTCCATGAAAAGGTTCTAAAGTGATTCAGATGTTGACATCCTTACTCCTGACCAGCTGATCTATATTTACAGAGGGGCAATTGTCCTCCAACACATCATACATCTTCCTCCTTATTTATAAACCCAAATTTGATAGGTATGAGAAACATAAGTTTTAAAAAAATCAAGCTTCAAGCTGCACTGGTTACGAGAGATTTTCATGGAATGATATTACAGTGCCAATATGCTAAGAGCTCCAAGCTAAAGATGTGGTGTTTAAAAATAATAATTAGTAAAAAAAACAAAGCAAAGCAGTTAAGGCACTTCTAGAGAGATCTTCAATGGGAGATGGCAAAAAGAGTAAGTTTGACAAAAAGCATACAAAAATCACATACTTTTCTACATTGATGGAGCTTCTACAGGTGCATGTCAATCAGAAAGCCCTAATTTAATGAAGATATTGATACTCTAAATGTCATTCAAAATCCTAATACACTTTAGACAAATCAAGTTTCCAAATCCTAAGGCATCTAACCTTAATCTTATATTCTTTCATTGCTATAATTGTTAATGAGAACTAGTTAAAGTTTGTTGGAATTCCTTGAACTTTATTGGTAATTTCTACTCTTAGGTTTGGATTTCCAAATAGAAAATGGACTAACTCTACAGATAGTGAGGGTTCCTTCAGGTATGCATTACTAGGCTTTAAATTTTGCCTTTTGTAAGCCCTATATTGTTAAGGGCTATTTAATCAAGCACCCAAGGAACACTTTTATGGGTGAAACATTTACCTTCAAATCATAATAATTAATAAATGAAACAATAACAATTTTTAGCGCTTACATATACCAAAAGGCACGATGTAATGCAAAAAGAAAGTAAGGGGACAGGAATTGAATAAAATACTAAGAAATTTACCACACAAAAAAAGTGTATTATACATACCCCCAACTTACAACAGCGGAAGCAGTATTCTCTGGTTCCATTGGATCAGGTGGCGCAGGGTTTCTGCTCGTTTTAACAGCACAAAATCTACAACCACGAGTGCAGGTATCACCAAGAACCATGATTGTGGCAGTTGCAATTCCATCCCCACCTCCATTCCAACACTGTAGTGTAAATTTCAGATAGATGGTAAACGATCCTAATACTTCATGTGCTAATAAACACTTTGAGAAATTTAAAGACTATACTTCTAACTACACTCATTATTCCCTAAGCAACGTTATCTCCCAATTTTAAAAAGTAAAGTCTAGTAGGATTAGTTTTTAAATTAGTTCTTAGTATGCCACGAATAAATAATTAAATGCAACAACAAACAATTTGGCATGATGCAACAATATCCTACAGTACTTGGACTCTTCGTTTTAACTTAAGAACCCATGTCGGTCCTCCAGATATGGGCAGGAGCAGGACACTTCAACCCTTTATTTTCAGCCAAAATAATGAAAAATTTTCAAATAGCAAACACTTGGACATGTTACCTGAGCTAAACTCTCCTTTCCCAAAATTACCATCCAGTCACAAATAATGATCGAAAAAGTAACAAAAGAGCTACCTCTCCAATGTTGGGGCACTGGGCTTCCTCACAAACAGTGTGGAGATGTAAGCGAGAAAGAGACTCTTTCACCTCCTCGAATTTCTTCCCCTGAGGAGCTTTCTGCCTCAACCAATTCGGTTTCGATACATTTGGGTCTCTCCCTGTGTAGGGTCCCATTCCTCCTGGATAAGGACCCAATTTCAACTTTGCCGTCTCCTCATATTCCGGCAAGTCAGCACTTATGGCAATTCCAGATGAAGTACTCAGCTTCAAGGTGACTTTGCACCTTATGTTAGATGGTTTGTAACAGGCCCATCCCTGAGCCAGGCCAGGAGGGGCGACAGCCCTTGTCCTAGGGAGAAAATGTCTAATTTCTAGTTCCATCACAACATTAGTGATTCTGCAACACATTAGCAACCAAATGATTCAATTATCAAATTAATCTCAAAAAATCACATAATAAATTCTAGGAATAAAATGTCAACTTCTAGTTACATCACAACATTTATTAGTTCTGCAACACATTAGCAACCAACCATGATTCAATTATCAAATTAAGCTTAAGAAATAACATAATAAATTTTAGGAAGAAAATGTCTAATTTCTAGTCACATCACAACATTTATTAGTTCTGCAACACATTAGCAACAAACCATGATTCAATTATCAAATTAAGCTCAAGAAATCACATAATAAATTTTAGGAAGAAAATGTCTAATTTCTAGTTACATCACAACATTAATTAGTTCTGCAACATATTATCAACCAAATATGATTCAATTATCAAATTATGCTCGAAAATCACATAATAATTTTAGGGATAAAATGTCTAATTTCTAGTTGCATCAGAACATTAATCAGTTCTGCAACACATTAGCAACCAAATATGATTCAAATATCAAATAAAGTTATTACCTTTGTGAATTGAAGTAATGAGTGTTGCCGAAAGCTTCAGATGACGAAGGTGCTGAGCTTTGCTGGAGGAAGACGGTAATTATGGCTGTGAGAAAAGAAATGAAATGTGTAGTGATATGAATATGCCAAGGTTTTTTTTTTATGGAGCGGAGTATACGAAGTTACGAAAGAAGAACGTGATTTTAAAAAAAAAAAAAAAATTTACTAGAATGAAAGAAATATGACACGGTCCAAGACGTATCACCGTGTATCTAACTTGTGTGGAGTGTCCATGTATCCTAGCCTGCTGCCATAGCACGGGTAGTGGTGGTGATGTGTGTGTCCGAGGGTTTTATTTAAAAAAAAAAAGAAAAAAAAAATTTCTTCTTTCTTAATTTTCAATTTTTTTTTTTTTATCAATTTAGTTTTGTCTTAAGTTTAATTTTCAGATTTAAATTTATAAAGTTTAATTAAGAATATATCATTGAAAATACAACATGTCTTGTGTGTGGCTGGCCACACTATGTGGCCGCTAGTATAAGAACAAAGTAACCCTATAGCACTGACCAAATAACTCCTGTAATATTGAATAAGTAACCCCTGTATCACTGACCGGATAACTTTTGTAACATTGACGAAATAACTCTTGTAACACTGACCAAGTAACTCTTATAAAACTAACGAAGTAACCCTCATAATAGTTGGCCACACGATATGGTCAGCCAGTCACATATAAGAATTTGTGTTAAACATAAATGAAGTAATTATGTAGTATTGATTTAGTTTATTGTATTGATTTTAAAGAGGTTTTAAAGTTTATTAAAATAGGGGTTTTAATAATTCATAAAGCTTACTTCGTATTATTTAATTAAGATAATGTAATTAATAGTTTTAGTATTGATTTGTTGGTGTATTTGTTATTTCTAGGAAGAGTTTTGATTGCTTAGGACTTGTTAGTTCAAGGTATGTGCACACATAATTTCGCTTTAGGTAGAATTTTGTTAGGTCGAAAGTTTTACCAGTCATAATCGAATAAAGTTTTGCTGTCATTACAGAGCGTTTTTTTGTATTTTATTCGAATGTATTGTTATTTTAGTATCATGTTAGGCTTGGAAAATTTATGTTTGGAGCATAATAGGATCCATGAGAAGCCTAAATTAATTTATGTACTACATACTTGACTTATGAAGTATATGAGAAACATGTTTATATGATCTATAGATTTAATTTTATGCAAGTTAGAAACATGCTAGAATGTATTGAAGCATGTTTAAATTATCTAACTTATTAGTATGTGGTTCATGAATATATATTATGTTAAGCATGCATGCTAATAAAAGCGAGTTAAGCAAAGTGATTTTATTATGCAAATTAAAGTATGACTATGATGTCAAAGTTATATTAAGTCAAATATGTTTATTTTTATTAATCACGTAGTAAGTGGTTAATTAATTTAAGTTGATAAAATAAAATAAAAAAATATTAAAATGCTATATATGTAAATTTAAAAGGGGTCTGCCCAGTTTTTCTCTTAGATAAACATTATTTGATGTTTACCAAGGGGTAAACTTTTAATTTTTTTGTATAAAATGAAGAATATATTTGTAATTTTCACCTTGGTCACCTTCTTCTTCCTCCCCCCCCCCTCCTTCCCAGGGGCGGACCCAATTAAGTGACATGGGGGGACAGCTGTCCCCCCAATTTAAAAAAAAAAATTAAAAAAAAAAAAAAAAAAGCAAAACAAATCGCAGCTCCATTTCAATCTTCACTCCAATTCGCCATTACCACTACTCCACTAGTCCACTGCGTCGCTGCTCCACCATTCCACCAACCGGCGACCGTCGAGGCTTCGTGCGTGCGTGGTGCGTCGCTGCTCCTGTGCGGCTGTGCTCCATCTTCAGTCTTCGCTGCAGGTGCGTGCGTGAGTGCGTCAGGCGTCACTGGCTCGCTGCTCCACCGACCACCGCCTGTCCGCCTTGGCCCCTGGGTTCCTCACCACTCGCTGAGTCGCTGCTAAACTTATGGTATGTCTTGCTAAGTTGCTAACCCTAATTCGAATTTCGAAATTCCCAATTTGTTAATTTGAAATCCCCAATTCACCAATTGTTAACCCTAATTTCCAGATTTTTGTTGAATTATTTTAATTTTAATTGCAATATTTGTTGAATTTTAATTTTAATTGCAATTTTAATGTTAAGTTTTATAGTATGCATTTATGCAATGATGTGAATTGTGGAAATTCCGAAATTGAATAATTGATATATATTTTTTAATGTAATTAGGAAATGTCAAATGATTCACCTAATTCAAACAAATCCAAGGCTACTAGAAAACAACCCGATCTTCGACAATTCTTGTCTAAAAGAAAGAAACTCCATGAAAATGAGTCAAATAACTCCCCTTCATTAAGCCCCCCTCAAAGTCAAGAAGATGATATGGAAATGGGTGGTTCAAGTACTTGTAATGTACCATTGGAGGAAAATTTGGTATACGATGTTGAACTTCTTCCTCATGATCCGGGAAAAAGAATAAACATAATGGATTACCCCGCAAATGAACGAAATGCAGTTAGGAGGGGTTATATTCTTAAAAAACCTTGCCAACCAAAAACTCATGACTTTCCTCAAAGACAAGTGTCTGGTTTACGTCGCTTTAGTGTTCATTGGTTCAAGAAATGGGATTGGCTTGAGTATAGTATTGAAAAAGATGCTGCATTTTGTTTTGTATGTTACTTGTTCAAGAATGAAGTTGATAGTTATTCGGGGGGTGATGCATTTGTTGATGGAGGGTTTAGGGCATGGAATAAACCGGAAAGATTTGAGAAGCATGTTGGTGGAATTAACAGTGCTCATAATCTTGCTTATGAGAAATATGTGAATTTAAGAGATGGAAAAAAAAAATCAATCTTGAATGTGTTTGACAATGCAAGTGAGGTGATTAAAAGTGAATATTTTATCCGCTTGAATGCATCTTTAACTTGTTTAAGGTATCTTTTGGGGCAAGGTTTGGCATTTCGTGGACATGATGAAAGCGGGGAGTCATATAATAGGGGTAATTTCCTTGAGCTTTTGAAATGGTTAGGAGAAAAGGTTGAGGAAGTAAGACAACATACTCTTGAAAAAGCACCTAAAAATTGTCAAATGATTTCCCCTTCTATTCAAAAGGACATTATTAATTGTTGTGCCAAAGAAACAACTAGGTGCATAATAGAAGAAGTTGGTGATGATTACTTTGCCATATTAGCCGATGAGTCAAGTGATGTGTCCCAAAAAGAACAACTAGCTCTTGTTTTGCGCTTTGTTAATAGAGATAGTGGAAAGGTAATGGAGCGATTTTTAGGCATTGTTCATGTTGGTAATACTACCGCTTTAACTCTTAAAGATGCAATCATGTCTTTACTTGTTGAACATTCATTGAGTCCATCTATGATAAGGGGGCAAGGGTACGATGGAGCTAGCAACATGAAAGGTGAAATAAATGGTCTTAAGACTTTGATTATGAATGATACTCCAAGTGCCTACTACGTACATTGTTTTGCTCATCAACTTCAACTAACACTAGTTGTCGTTGCTAAAAAGAATGATACTTGTGGTTGGCTTTTTGAGATACTTGCAAATTTATTGAATGTGGTTGGAGTTTCTTGCAAGAGAAGAGAAATGATTCGACAAGATCAAGCTAAAGAAGTTGCTCGAGCATTGGATGTAGGGGATATTGTGAGTGGATCGGGTTTAAATCAAGAACTTGGTTTGAAAAGGCCCGGGGATACTCGTTGGAGTTCTTATTACAAGTCTATTTCAAACATCATCCTCTTATTTCCTACAATTGTTAAGGTACTTGTACACATTGGGAAGCATGGTGTATCGGAAGATAAGTTCAAAGCTCAAATTGTTTTAGGACAGTTAGAGTCATTTGACTTTGTTTTTATTGCTCACTTGATGTTGACTATTTTTGGTTACACTAACGATTTGTGTGTTGCTTTGCAAAGAAAGGAGCAAGATATTGTAAATGTCATGGAACTTGTCACTTACACAAAATTGGTGTTGCAAAAAATGAGGGAGCAAGGATGGGATACTCTCTTAAACAAGGTAACTTCATTTTGTGCTAAACATGGTATTGTTGTTCCCACTATGGATTCTCCTTATGTTCCTCAAGGAAGATCAAGACGTTTTGTTGAAGAAGCAACAAATGAACATCATTTTCGGGTTGGAATTTTTGTAAGAGTGATTGATTTGCATCTTCAAGAACTTGATGATCGATTTAATGAGAGGAATATGGAGATACTAATATGTATGGCTTGTTTAAGTCCTAAAGATAACTTCTCATCCTTTGATAAAGATAAGGTACTTAAACTTGCCTCTTTTTATCCCGAAGAATTTTCAAGCTTTGATTTGATGGCTCTTGAATGTCAACTTGATATATTCATGGAGAATATGCTAAATGATGATAGATTTCAAGGTTTAAATGACCTTAACTCTCTTTCTATGATGCTTGTTAAAACTAATAAGCATAAGACTTTTCCTCTTATTCATTTGCTTATCAAGTTGATGTTGATTCTTCCGGTTGCCACGGCAAGTGTTGAAAGAGTCTTTTCCGCAGTGACATGTGTCAAAAATAAGTTGCGAAATAGCATGGGTGATCAACTTATGAATGATTGTTTGGTCACTTTTATTGAGAAGGATGTCTTCCTAAGAGTTTCCGATGAAAAAATTGTTGATCGCTTCCAAAATATGAAGACTCGAAGGATGAAAGTGTAATTTTAATGTAATGTTTATGTAATTTTTTTCATCATTTGAATTGTATGACTAAGTATGTTTTTTATTTTGAAATTTTAATATTAAGTATTAACTAATTTGTGTGTTTGAGTTTTTTTTTGTTTTTATTTTTTGTTAAGCTATTTGTAAGTTAAGCATTTTGTCCCCCCGAATTGAAAATCCTGGATCCGCCACTGCTCCTTCCTCAGTTCATGTTCTTCCTCATCCTTGACTACTTTACCCACCTCCATCTACTTCATGGATCTCTCTTATCCTTTCTCCTTCCTTCACCCACCTCCATCATCTTCATGTATTTCGTCTTTTGATTTCCACTCACCTTCGTTTCCTTCTTCAAGTCATTTCAATGGTAACGTCCATTTATGATCTGATGGCTAAATTAAACGAAAACCACCATTTTCAGTTATGAAATTAAACAGAAACCATCATTTCAATTCCGACTAATTAAAAAGAAATCCTAAGAAAAAAAAAGGAGAAAGAAAGGCATGGTTAACCCAAAGTGTAGGAGAGCTTTTCCCCTCCATTGAATTCACAATTAAAATTGGTATTGATTGTTAGCTTCTCCATTAA